TCTGATTTTATTGTATCTGCTTTTATTCAATATATATTTTTTACATATTAAATAAATGGATTGTATTTAAAGTTTAAGTAGAGTGTTCCCCTTGCTGTTGTTGTTTTTTAATTAATTTGCTCAGAATTTAAATAAAATGTTTTTATTGTCATTTTTATTTTAAATAATTTACTTTTCAGCATGCTTTGAAATATTAAAAATTTTAATAGTTTCAAAATTTTGAAAGTTTCAAAAATTTGCAGAAAAAAATAAAGCTAAACCAAACATAAAAGAAAAAAATAACAATTAATAAAGGAAAACAGAAAAAATTGATAAACTAAAATTCTAAAATAATAAAAATAAAACTTTACTAAAATAAAACTCGAAGAGGAAATTATTTTATGCATGACCAAACAAAGCATGCAACCGCACATGCTTTCAGTGAGCATATTTTGAAACCCTATACAGGCTGAGATCAGGCAGAAATATGAGCAATCTGATTCACTGAATTTGAAAGAGAGGCATGAATATTTCACTGATTTTGAAAGAGAGGCATGTGTGCATTTGTTAAAAAATATAACTAAAATCAAAACAAGCAGATTTTCAAAATAAATATTCAGTAATACAAAATTTATTAATATAAGTCTTGCGCTAATATCAACACAAGAAATTCAATTTATTTTATGAAAATCTATTTGTACCAAACAATTTTAGTCATAAAAATTTCTAAATTTTAATAAAGTTTATCTATGTGATGTGGATTTTATCTGATTTTAATTTAAAGAAATAGAAAAAAAATGTATCTGTTAAAGTAAATTCGAAAGGATCTATGTTTCTTGTAAAATAAAATGTCTTTGGTCTTGAAGCATACTCAATACAAAGTTTATATGTAATTGATTTTAATTCATACTGATTGCAAAACTAGCTTACACATTCCATTTGAATATATGAACTCTAAGGAGAATTTGTTTTCATAATTTATTTCAACCTTAATTTTGAGAGGATTGGTATATTTTGTATTACATAACTCTAATAAAACATCATCATGAGTAAAGTATTAAACTCAAAAAAGTTAACCAAATAAAGTTGGATTATGGCATCAAAAAATTGATTGTGGCATTTTTTTGTGTTGCAATAATTGAAAAAAATTGATTTAAAAAACTAAATTAGTTAAAAGATTAAATGAAAGATTAAAATGAATGGAATAAGAGTAATGAAGAAAATAAAACTTTTAAAAAAAAACAGTCAGTTGTCATGATATGTGTTTTTGTTTACAACCTAAAATGGCTTTTGATTGTAGCTTTGATGGATTAGTTATAGTAAAAAGTTAAATTTATTGTAATAAAATAAAATATCCTTAAAAATTCAAAAAAAATTTGATTCTATACCAAAAAATCATGTTTTAAACTTTCTTTTTTTTCATTTTTCTAAAGCTCGACAAGTATTTAATGTAAAATAATGTTATATGATAAGCAACCCTTGGAATTAGGAAAAATGAGATCGGCAATTTGTTGCCGACCTCCAACAGCTAGAGTTCGGCATTAGGTTGGCAGAAAAAATTTGACACAAAGGAGTTACCATAAAACAAAGGAACAAGTTGGCAATTTTTAGCCGACCTTAACAATATAAGGTTGGCAGTTAAATCGACATTGCCGAATGCCGACCCTAATTCCAAGGGTTGGATAAGATAATAAATACAAAGTTATCAGAGTTTGTTCTTTTATTTAATAATACTTCTTTTCAATTATAGATACAATAACTAGTATTTTGAACAATTTAACAGCTATATCTAAGAAATATGTGATTTGTATGTATAAACTCTTAAAATAGTACATTCAAGGTGAATTTTCATATGTGCATATATTCTTTTTTTTACCTCTGAACTCATAATTCTCCATTGAGGTGTGGTATGTTAAGAGCAAGGCTGGGTTGTAACAAAGTACAATTACTTCGCTACAATTTTCGTTACTTTAGACAATACTTTGTATTGTACTTTTACTTTAGTTACATTTTCATCTTTAATTTTTATTTTGAAACAAGTTACTTTTAAAAAAAATACAAAAGTACTCATAATGTATTACCATTAAAATTGAATTATAATAACACGAAATTCGTAATATCAAATGTCGCACACTCGCCAAAACTGGTTTAAAATTAAGATTACACTACCCATTGTTAATAGTAACCTATAGTGATGCTATCAACTCAAGTTCTGTGGAAGAAGCAACAACATCCAATGTCATCATTGGATATTGTTGCTTCTTCCAACAGAACTTAGACAACATACTATGTTCACTTTTAAGCACAGGATAATCACAATACCTCTGCAAAAACATTTTCTTAATGTATACAACAAGTTTGGTTGGTAAGCAGGAGCGATCGCTCTCAAATACTGACCACGGAAATTATATTTAGTTGCGAAAAACTGGCCAGGTTTTCAAGTCATACACATTTAGTTAGTTAACATTTAAGTTTATGTACGAAACAAAAAATTTTTGTTTTAGGGACTTACATGGAAACATAAAAACTTGAATGTTCTCAAAACATCTTGGTGCGGAGGAATAAAAAGAATATTTGCCAACACTAAAAACCCGCCAAATTAATTCTATTGGTTTAAAAATACGCTGACTAAGCAAAATAAAGTTCTAGAGTATTTTGTTGAAATGTTTTAGAAATTGTATTATTCACGATTTGTTATGTTTTGAGATTTCTAGCATAAACTATTTTAAGAATATATTATTAATTCTATGGTTCATTCTCGGAACCACATCAAATTCTCAGAGCAACATCTGCAAAGCCGTAAATCTTATAAACTATTATTATTTGTTTACAAAAATAAAATTTTAAATATATATTATTTAAATTGTCAAAATTTTGAAAGTTTATTATAAATTATAGATTTTATTAGTATATTCTTATTTTTTATGTAAATGTAATTTTGTGTATCTGTTTTTTATTGTAATGTAATCTTTTAAAGCAATTTTTATGATTTAATTTGTAAACAAAGACTTATAAAAATAATTGCGTTTTCATTGAAGTTATTAATAATCATCAAAGTTAATAAAACTAATTATGTAACAAACATATAAGTTTCCGGTTATTAAACACAAACAATGCATACAAAGTAACTCGCGGATAAACAAGCACTGCGCCTAAGGTCATGACAGAACTCAAATATATATAGCAAGTTATTAGATATAAAAAGCGTTGTTCAATTTTATTAAAAAATTATAAACGAGCGATGTTTTAAAAATATTTGTTCTAAACGCAATTTATTTTGCTTTAATTTTTTTGCATTAAAAGATATATTATTTTCCTAATTTTTTTTTTTTTTTTTGTAATTGTCTCTCATTGGTCCAATTAATCTTTTTTGCGCTTTTTTTTTTGCTTCTTAAAATGTTCTCAAAAAGACTAAAAAATCTGGCCAGCTTTTTGCAACTAAATATTATTTCCGTGGTCAGCAATCGAGAGCGATCGCTCCCGCTTCCCGACCAAGCCTGATACAAATAATGTAAACACCTCATTTAATGAACTTTATAACTCTAAACTCATGAAGATCATCTTTCTAAAATTAAATACTGCATTGCCTGCGAGTGCAGCCTGTGAACACCTGTTAGTGTAGCAGGGAGTGCTTTTAGGCCAAATCGTACAACAATCAACACTTCAAACAGCAACTGCAATAACATTGGTAATAAAAACATTTCAAATGACTTTTGATTTCATAATGACATTTTAAGATTAAACTTAAACATTTGAACAATTTCCTTTTTATTTCTATATTAAATAAAGTTTTATTTTAAAATCAAAAACATTTTTTTTTTAATTTAGAAAATACTTTTTACTTCGTAACAAAAAAAGTATTTTCAGTGTATTTTGCTTTTTTACTTTTACATAAGTAGGGGAAGGTTGCATGAGATGAGCAGGTTTTAAAGATGGCATAACCTCTTCTACTGGTAGACTTTTTTTTTTTTAAACATCTTCACTTCCAACAAGACTGCTAGCAACCACTATAAAAGTTGAAAGTTACTGGAAGAGAAAAGATGAATATTGTAGAGCAAGATAACAATTGACAGACAACTTAAAAGATTGCAAATTATATGAATCAGGAAAGCAAGATGAAGGAAGCAAACTCCAAAGAATGATGTTCGAGGAAAAAGAGCAATGGCCTTAACCTCCCCACCTTTATCTAATGCAAAATAAAACCTATCGGTTATTACAGTTAGCAAATCTACCATAGAACGAGAAGATCGAAATCCATATTGATGATCAGAAAGTAAGTAATTAGATTCAAGATGAGAGATTAAGTGTTTGTAAATTAAAGATTCAAAAACCTTGCTTATGACGGAAAGAATACTAAAGGGATGGTAGTTAGACAAATCATATCACTCTCCAGAATTTTAAAAAAAAGGGATAACAGATACTGCTTTCCATCAGGCTAGAAAACAAGATGAAGAAGACTCTGATAAGCACTTAATGAATAGTTTTGAAAGGATAGACGACAGCTTAGGAGAACACTTCTGCAAGACTATAACAGGTATGCTGTCTAGGCCACAAGCTGTAAAGGATCTAAGCAAGAAATCACTTTAGATACAGAAACTGGATCAGATCATTCAAACCTAGTTTCCCGACAAATGGGTGAATTATTACGAATGTAAATGCCCAGGCCAAACATGTGACTATTGGAGTCTTTATGAATTAAAGGAAGATAACCATCAACACTAAAATCACAAGATGAGACAGCTGAACTTAAATTAAAAACTGTTTAATAGCCCAAGCAATTGCCTCATTATTATATTTATTATAATTATTATAGTTTTTATAATTTAATTTTTTATGTAATTATTTAATGCGCTTTTTGATTGTTTTGATTTTAACAAATGGGCACTTATGCCTCTCTTTCAAAATCAGCAAATCAGATTACAAAATAGGGTTTCAAAATATGCTTTCCATAACAGCCTGATATATGCTTATTTCTTAACTTATCATAAAATAAATTACCTCAATGCTACAAAATGAATTACCATTTGTTTCTGGAATCGTTACTATGGAGACAGCTAATGCAAATCCATTACCAAATGTCAATGTTTGCATAAGTACAAACTCTAAAGATAAAAAAGTGATATTTCTTTACTAACCTATTTCTTATATTACAAATAAAAGAGTCACAACTTAAAATAAAAAAGTATCAAGGTAATCAAGGTAAAAATCAAGGTAATCCAGGTAAATAATCAAGGTAAAAATTAGTTAAAAAATTATCAAAAGGTTATCAAAAAGGTATCAAGGTAATCAAGGTAAAAAATAGTTTAAAAGTTTTGGGATAAAGGGCTTTAATTTTATAACTTTTTTATCAAATACAAAAAATAAAAATCCTTTATCATCAGTATTTAAAGACTTATGAAGAATTCCATTCATCAAATACAAATAGAAATAAAAATCCTTTATCATCAGTATTTAAAGATTTTTGAAAGAATTCCATTCATCAAAAGGATTCATTCATCATCCTCATTCATTCAATCATTCATCATGGCTTAGAAGTTATTTAAATCATTTTTTTGAAATGAATCTAAACTTTAGAAAAGTTACTAGAAAAAATCTGTCCTTCAGAGTTATAAGATTTAGAAGAATTAAGATAAACAATTAATAATAATAATAAACTGCCTTATTGACTTTTATGTTCCTTTTACAAACATCTTAAAATATTTTCTGTATAACTATTTTTCCTATCAAAATGTTTTAAAATAACGTAGATCTACTAATGTAATAATCCAAAATGCAAGGTAGATCTATTAATGTAATAATCCAAAATGCAACATAAATGCCAAATAATTTCATCATTAATGAAAATGATATTATTATATTACCAATATAATACCTTTATATTACCAATATACCTATATTACCAATATACTACCTTTATATTACCAATATACTACCTTTATAATACCAATATAATACCTTTATATTACCAATAATAAACATTTTAAAATATTCAACCTTCAACTCCTTTCATTATTTCAATATTATTCTTTAATTATTTCAATATTATCCTTTAACTATTTTAATATCCTGCTGTCCTTTCATTTCAATATTATCCTACCCTAATGGCATTTTCCTTTTTCTTTTTTTTGAATAGCAACTGGAAAGCATCTTTGTTGAATAAACATACTATATCTTATCTATTTAAATAGCATTGTTTTTATTTAATAATTAATAATTCTTTTTTCTTTTTCCAAAGATAAATTTAATAGTAGAACAGTTTAGAAATGTGAATATTTTTTATAATTTTGAAAATATTTTGACAGCATAAAAAAATCTAGTCCTCCTAATTGGGAAAAATGACGTTGGCAATTTTTTGCCAACCTAAAACTATTAGAGATTGTACTCGAGGTTGGACTCGAAAAAACTAATCCCGAAATCCCAGGATTAGTCTCCTAAATTTTCCAGAATTGTCAAAAAAAAGTAAAAGTTAATACAGAAATAATTGTAATTAAGTAATTTATACTACATCTTTGGTATAGTTTGTTTGGTTGTGTAACTGTTTATTCACTTTGAAATGTTTTCCTTTTAAAACTCTCTTTTTCTGTATTTTATTAAAAATAAAAACTCAAAACATTATTGCTTGTCTACAAAATATGTACGATTAAACATATAAAATATAATATTATACTCTCTCTCACTCTTTCTTTCTCTCTCTCTCTCTCTCTCTCTCTCTCTCTCTCTCTCTATATATATATATATATATATATATATATATATATATATATATATATATATATATATATATATATATATATATATATATATATATATATATATATATATATATATATATATATATATATATATATATATATATATATATATACACATATACACAATTACATATATACACATATATATAGTATAATATTAAAACTAGTATATTATAAAAAATAAAATTTTAGCGCTTGCAGGTGGAAAGAGCAAGTATTTTTAATAAATGTTTTTATTAGAAGGTATACCTTCTATTAAAGTTTTTTTCTATTAAACTAACTTTAATAGAAAAAAACTTCAATAGAAGGTATACCTCAGCCCCATAGCAACCTGATGGGCAGCAGGGGCACTTGCCTCCCTAATATTTTTTCAAATAAATAATTTTGAAGAAATTGATTTAAAAAAATAACTTCTATTAAAGTTATTTTATTTTTTATTTCCATTTTTATTTCCATTAATCCTAATTTCAAATATGTGCGTGATTTACAAAAGTTTTTTTTAAGTCAGTTTAATTAGTTAACAAAAAACAGGTTTATTAAATTACAAAATTTTCTTAGTTTCCATTTAATTAATGAAGTCATGGATATTTATATATTTTTTTAATTATTATTTTTACTTATACTGTGTAACAATTTTAAGGTATTGTTTTATAATTTAAAGTACTTAGGTTCATTAATTTTTCAAAGTCTTAGATAAGATTTAATATAACAAAATTAAGTTAAAACATGTATGTAACTTAATGTTAGGTTCATTAATGTATTAAATATTTTAGTTATATTATGACTAAACTAATCATTCTTAAGTTTGATGAGTACTTAAAAAGTATTCGTAGCGTTTTTAGGAGCGTTTTTTTCTATTCAATGCGGGGGATTCCCGGGGACAAATTTATATTTATATTATTTTCAAAATTATTTGAAACCCCGGGATTGAAAATTTCCGGGAATTTTGCCATCCCTAATTCCAAGGGATGAAGGTCAGAAATTTTAAATTAAGGTTCTCATCTTTATTTTGTTTTTAACATCTGTTCAATATATCTTTCAAATTTTTTTGTTATTATATTTTCTTCTCTTCCTAATTTTTTCCTTATTTCTCTTGGTCTTAACAGCCCTTTGATGCATATTTTTGCATTTTTTAAAACAGATATAAATTAAGCATAAACTAAAAGATGCTTCAAGATGCTTTTAAACACAAAATAAACCATTTACCTTTATCTTTTTCTTGACTCCAAATAATCACTGAAGAGTCTGATGAACTGCTAACTAGAATTTGTTGACCATTTTCTAAGCAACATGAACAAACAGAACAAACTGCATCAGTGTGACCAAGTAAAGTCTAAGTAAATATTTTTATTTGATTAAAAATCCTATATTTTGCTAATTCAAATATATTTAATGTAAATTTAATTTAAATGTTTTGCTAATTTAAATATATTGCAAAATATAATATTGCTAAATATATAAATTGCTAAATATATAGTATTGCTACATATAATGCTAATTTAAATATATTGCTAATTTAAATATTCTCATTTAAATTTAGAAAATCAAAATATATATGTAAAAAAAATTAAGTTATTTAAATATTATACTTTAAAATATACCCAGCAACCTATGAAATTATTAGATATTTGTATCTAAAAGTTGTAATGCAATATAACTTAATAGAATTGCAACATCAAGGTGTTGCACCAAAAGTGTAACAGACTCAAAACATATAACCAAAAACATGTAATTTAAATACTTAATAATATCTAAATGTTACCTGATTTATTTTATTTTTTCTCCATACAATTAATGATTTATCAGAAGATCCAGAAACTAGTTCTAAACAATTTTCAAAGACTTTAAATTAAAGGTTATATACTGTTTTTTTTCATTTTAGTGGTTATTTCGTTGAAATTGGAATCAGCTCATGTTTATAGTATATATATATATAACTATGTAGTTATCAATAAAATGAAAAAATGTTTTAAATATTGTCTGTTTTTGTAAAAAAATTTATATATAATACAAAAATATAAAGTAATACAAAATACAATAAAAATATAAAAAATTTTACAATATATATTTTGTATATATACTACAATAAATATATAAAATATTTTTATAATACAATACAAATATAATTATTGTATTTTGTAAAATTTTCCTCTAAGTATATTTCCTCTAAGTATATTTCCTCTACGCTATTGTGGAAGCCCTTCAGAAGTGAAAAAACTATTTGACTGGGTGCCACTTTACCTTGAAAACTAACCAACGGGCTGTTTCATAATGTTAAATCAGAATCATAAAGTTAAAATAAAAAATGATAAAATAATGCAATGGCGTACCGGACTTGGTTGCTACACCTACAACCCAGTGTTTGAGGTTGGCAATATCTTACATACCTCAAACACTTTCAGGACGACTATTAGGTCGGCATTGCCGAATGCCAACCCTAATTCTAAGGGTTGCAGCTATGACAGTATTGCCCAGGTAAGCATAATCAAGCTACTGATTAATTAACATGTTCCTCATGTTCTGGTTAACTGATTCAAAAGTTGCTGAAAAATGAAAGCATAAGCTCCATTTGTTTTTATATAAGAGATAATAAAGTAAAACTAGCAGAGCTTCATAATTCTCTCTGTCACCCAGGTCAGGGTTCATGGCAGTTTTATAAATCCATTTCCCTAAGTTTTCCCTGATTATTCCCTAATTTTCACCCAATTTCAAGTAACTTTCCCCTGATTTCGGTGGTAAAAAGTATATAATTTTTCTTGTTAATGTTAAAGGATATAATACTATCACAACTGAATCCATGTTTTCTTAATATTTTTATGAGAATTTTTTAAACCTTATTCCTTTTTTTATTCTTCTATTAGAAACAAAAAACAAAGATTTTTTTTAAAAGATATTTATTTACTATTCTATATAAAGTTATTTTAGTATCTTTCTCATTTGATTGTTAGATTTTATTAGTGTCTGTTATTGAACTTCGGTACATTCTATATCTTTCATGGGCTGAATATTCATTGATTATCATTTTGTTTGTAATTTCAATATTATGGCCTATCTTGTTTCAGTTGCAAATCCTAGTTTTTGATTTCCCTAAAGTAGATAATCTTTTTTATGAAAATCAACTTCTGCTATAGACCAATTATCAATAACTTTGTGTTTCACAAACAAGTTCAGTATGGCCCACAGTAGTCTTTCTAAGTCACTATTTATAAATGGAACCATTGGCTTGTCAGTTTGGTACGCCAACAAATATGGCTCTACTATGCTGGGAACAAAGCTGAAAACTTCAAATTTTGAACAAGTTTATCTTTAACAGCTTTTTTTGACAATTAAAAGGCATATTGATTTGGGTTGGTTTAAAGATGGTAACTTTTCCCAAAACTCAATTAATTTAAATATATTAATTTAAATTATTATATCAATTAATTTAAATAATTATATAAAATATATTTTCAATGCCATAATCTGCCACAGATTTATTTTTAACCCACCAAAATATAAGCCGGAATTTTGTTGTATCTGTGACTGTTTCATAATCTTGACGTCTAGCTAGGCTGTTGCGAGAAGTTTTTAACACTCTTTCAGAATTTCTTTAATATTCTATGGTGTTGCAACATGCAAGGAGCAACTTCCAATATTTATAAGTTGTGGCATCTCATTGTTTATTTTGTGTTTATTTAGATCATCTAAAAATTTTAATTTGTGGAGTTCATGGAAACTTGAAACACTTTACTTGAATAAAATCTTGATAAGTATTCGTTAAAATGAGTAAGAAGGTCAGAAGTAGTAAAATGACTGAGAAAAGCTGATGCCTAATATCTTACTTTAACTTTGTTTTTGACATTATCAAACAAATAGGTCTATCAGTCATGTTTTAGTTATGTCCTTCAAACTCTCATCAAACAATACAATGTAACAATCTGATTTTGTGATTTCTTCTTGTAAGAGTGTCTTGAAGTATGGCGCTAGTCCATGCTTAACAATGTATGATACTTTTGAAGAACTCATGGTTAAATCTTCTGCTACCTTACTGTCAAGAAAGATCTTTTTAAAAGAGTTGTTTAAATTTGCACATGAATTTTTAGAGTAATAGAATTCTTATGTAGATTTTAGAGCTCAAATGTTTCAACAATAGTTGATAAAGATGATTTAATTGAGAAACCAATAGTTGTTTGTTTTTTGGTGGAAAATGTTGAATTTTTTTCTTCACATCTAAGCGGCTCAGCTCGCAACTCTTTTTCATTAACAAAGAAATAGCTAACAGGATTGTAGTAGATTGATACTTTTTACCTAAAACTTTTTATAAATATGGTATTGTAACCAATCTTCTTGAAAATAGGTATTCTCTGAAGTCATATTTTATGTTATTATATTCAATTAAATATTTAATTAAACATATGGTTATTATATTTTATAAAAGTTATAAAACCACTGTAGTGAGCAACTTTCAATAAAAATAAAAACTCTAAATTTGTATGTAACAAAATAACAAGTTATATATACAACTAAAAACCATTCCCTGAGTTTTCCCTGATTTTTAGGATTTTCAAAAAAAAGTTCCCTGACTTTTCCAGGTATTATACCTTTACAGTTATTGACAAATAATTTTCATTTAACTTTCTTTTCTGATACTTCTTTAGTATTAAAGTGTTTTAAGAATTTTTTCTCTTTATTTGGCATGCCTGCTTATGTTCATTCTGACAGAGGCAGCTCTATAAAATCAAAAAAAAAGTACTTTATTGCATACCAGAGAAGTTGTCACAAACAGAACAACGCCTTATAATCCTAAAGGAAACGGACAAATAGAGTGCTTTAATGGAATAATTTAGAAATCAATAACATTAGCTCTCAAATCAAAAAAGCTATAAGTCCAAAACTGGGAAACCGTTTTACAGGATACTTTACACTTTATTCGCTCTTTATTTTGTACTGCAATAAATGCAACACCACACAAGAGGTACTAAATTTTTCCATGGAGATCTACAAACAGAAAATCTGCCCCAAACTGATTGTTAGAACAAGAAAAAGTGTTTGTAAAAAAAAAAAATATTCGATCCAGTAAATACGATCCCCTAGTAGAAGAAACTGATCTGTTAGAAGCAGAATCACCGTATGCTCATATTAAATTTCCAAACAGACAAGAATCTACTGTATCCATTAAAGACTTAGCACCATTATAGATAGTAAACTTTCTCATTCAAATACTAAAATTGTTGACAATAGTATTATTGACTCAGAGTATATCTTGCAATCTAATCAACACCCAACTACAGACAAAGAAAGTTTGCTTGACAACTACCCATCATTGGACAATCATCAAGACAATCTCAATTAGACAATGGACAATCAAGACAATCTCAATTAGACATTGGACAATCATCAAGACAATCTCAATTAAACCAGTAAACGCCCTAAAGGTACGGTTTTAAGGACAAATAATTTTATTGATTGGAAGAATGTTATAAATTATTTATAAACGCTATGAATTTTTTATGACTTAATATCTTTTTATATCTAATATATTTTTATGACTTAATAATTAAGAACTGTTGCGTTATTAATTATTATTTTAAAATTTCCATTGTATTAATTTAGTGACATATGATAGATAAAACCTTAATAGTTAAGAGATGTAATTATTTCAACCATTTTTTTTATCCATGCAAGTAAATTTAACATTAGGATGTTTGGAATTCAAATAATCAACCTTTGAGTGGAAAAAATATCATTTATATATCATTTTTGAAATAAAGAATTACATTACCATTATATGTAATGGTTTTCCTAATCTTTAGTTTAATGACTATATGATCAAAGACAAACTAAAGAATTAGAACAAACCCATGCTACACATAAATTTGTTTATAGTATAACCATCTAATAAAAAAATATGAGCTACATGAAGCAAATTGGAATAATTTAATAAGAATATAATTCGATTTTCGAACCAGGAAAATCAAAATCATTTACAAATATTTTTGTACTAGAGGCTAATTAAATGATAAAAATTGATTTAACACTTAAGTTAATGTGGTAGTGGTGTAGCAGATAATGTAATGTGGTGCCTCGCTTTGTAAGCAAAAAGTTTATAGTTACATTATCACCACATCCCTGGTGGTACCATGCTCAACTTGTTTCTTGGCGCAGCAACCTCATTAATTAATATTAGCCTCCCAACTAGAATGGCCCAACTCAGAAAAAATAAAATAAAAATCAATTAAAACATTCTTTATTCTAAAAACAAAATAAAAAATACAAACCATCTGAACTAAGCCAGCACACACAGTTTACTCTTAAAGTGTGTCCATTTAACACTTCAACAATACCTTCACTCTATAAAAAAAACAGAAATTTAAAATTTATTAAAATGTTATTAACGCAATCTAAAGTATTAAACAAATTGTTTGATTACTCAATTTAAATAGATACTATGACTAACCTCTGGATTATATACATAAACAGAATTACAGCCTCCAAATGCTATCAAACCTTTTTTTCCCCATGATAAAGCATTTAATGTACGATTGCAGCCTGTTGCAAGAAAAACTGTTTTACAAAACCCATCTTCCATTATAAGATTAAGAATACAAATAACCTAAATGATTTCAATAAAAAAATCAAAAAAAAGCATTTTTTTTTAAAATATATTTACATTATATATACTCATTTGAGACTAACATAGTGAAATTAAAACACACACAAATGCAGAAAAAAATTTTCTGACATTATTGATGTTTGAAAGAAAAAAATAAAAATGTAATAAAGATTCTTTCGATTTACAAAACCATGATATATGCAAATAGATTTTTCATTTCAATAATAATGTGGTGTTGTGCAACAGTAGAGTGCTACTTTAGTAGGAAAAAAGGTATACATCAATTAATTAACCTGATTTATAGATTGGTGCAACGGTGGAGTGCTCCTTTGATAAGAAAGATGTATATATCTCTAAATAAAACTAAAATACTTATTACTAAAAAAGGAGTACTGCTGGAATTCTAGTGGGCTAGATACATATGAAGCTCAATAAATCTCCAGTAGTACCCATTTTTGATTATAATTCTTTAACATGATATTAGATTAACTTTTGTCAAATAATTTGTCATATTAAATAGAAATGTAACCTTATTGGCATTCAAAACTTTGTTGAAAGACCTTTTATTTGTTGATTATTTTTTTTTACATTTTAATCACTTTGATGAAACGAATTAAAAATTTGACATTACTAATCATTTTCTCTAATTATTAAAATAATTCAGTAATGTATTTTTTTTAATTGTCAACTACTAAGAAAAATAAGTGTGAATATTAGGTATGATTTCTTAATGGAAATATTGCTTATTAGTCTGCTTAAAAGATTAATAATGAAACAGTTAAGTCTCTGTAATGTTTAGCCTCTATGACTCATACTATAAGTAAATATCCAAGCAATAATACCTGCAAAATCTTACTAGAGAATCTTAATTAACAAGAAGAGGCTCTGGTATGAATTTAATGTAAGATTACGATTTGATATTATTTCTGGTTTCAAAATTAAAATCAAATAAACTAACTAGAATTATATCAAAGATATAAGAAAGGTATTTAAAATTTATCAGCCAATATATTATTATTAATTTAATGCAGGCGCACGTGCGCAACTTTACCACGCAGAATTTTTTTTTGTCAACGTTTATTTTTTGTGTGTTAGTCCGTCCGGTTAGAATCTTTGAAGCTATATTTGACCCTGACCCTAACCCTGGCGGTTCGCAGTTCGCATTTTACCGACTACCCTTCCCGACTAGCTAGAGTTGTGAAACTTTCAGGATAGCTCAGAACCCGATGACAAAGAAATTTAAAAACATTTTCAAGCTTCGGCAGTCAATATTTCTCTTAATTTCAACAAAATAAAAGTTTGTATGCAGAAAAAATAAATAGCGACTTTAGTGAGCACTTAAAAAAAAAATTTGTATTGCGTTTTCATTGTGTAAAGAAAATTTTATCTTTTAGACAAAACCAAGCTTGATTGCATTTTAATTCCATATTTTAAATCGTTTCAAAGATTTTAACCTAACAAATCTTAAAAGTAAAAAATAATCTACAATAAAAAATGAATTTTTCTAAAAACAACGTTTTTCAAGCGAATTAAAAAGTAGTATTTGAACTTGTCAGAATATCTGATTATATTCCTCTTACAATGATTACAGATTTTATAACAAGTTTGATACACGTAAAACGAAAAACGTTGGGCGTATGTTATAAGGTAAAAGATTGGTAATCGACCAACACTTAACGGTTTCGTTAATCATATATCAGTGCAATATATCTATACTAATCATTAAAATGTCCACTTGTATTTCAATTATAATAGATACACTTAAATACATCCACACAAACAAAGCATTAAATCAAATGTTATACTGCATAATGTCATAATATTATCAAATCACCATTTGCGCCCAATGTTTTTCGTTTTACGTGTATCAAATTTGTTATAAAATCTGTCATCATTATAAGAGGAATATAAAATTATTTTTTATTATTTTAGTTTGCTTGAAAAACTTTTTTAGAAAAGTTCATTTTTTATTGTAGATTATTATTATTTATTTTTTTTAAGCTTTTGTTTTCCGCTAAAAAAAAATAGATCGTCACCTCAAAGAAAGAACGCATTATCTAGGTTTTTTGCTTAGTGGAGAAAATGTGAAAACTAAATTTGAACGCATATGAAAAATGTTTATACTCAATACATAATTGATTTTTAAAGTTTTTTAAAATAACATAAGTAATATAAATACAATTATTATTAGCAAAACTTAATCGACCTAGTACCAGATAATACCTTCTCGTCATAATCAATGATTTTGTATCAATGCCAGTATGAATACCATAATGCACCAAGGAAACTACTATACTGCATGCTTGCTATGCATTGCACAAACCATACACACAATAAATAATGCCCAATGACAATAAATAATTAAAATTATAATCAACTTTATTTTGTTATTAATTTCAATTTTCATAGAACATTGCAACTTTCGACAACTTTTATAATCAGAGCTATCACTGTCATTCAGTCTTTTCACTGTCGGAATCGCCATCAATAAAGTCTTTAGTCACTGCGACTGATACAGGGTGATTCTCAAAAAACAGATTATGTTCAGTATGACGCCTGCTTTACACAAGCTAAGGAGATCGCTCTTGCAGCCGAAATGGGTAGTAACGGTTTGTATGCTGGTTGTAGACAGGGTTCTACGTACTTCTGCGGACGCCCTTTGCTTTTGCATCTGCTTACAAAAATTTTCTTGAAATTGTTGCCATACATGTACTTGTACTGAATGTAACTGGTGTTAGCTTTTCCATATTTCAGCACTTTTATTTTTAGCCAATTCACTGTGTCACCATTTTCATCACGGGTTCTGTTTTTTCATAAGCATACCACTTAGTTTTTTGCAATCCACAAATTCACTGTTGCTCATTTGCCTTACTTTATATGGTCTACTACGTCTTGCATTTTTAATTATTGACATCCACCCAGATAGCGAAAACACTGACATATTTTTCTTTACCGACTCGATGGCGCAGTGAATGAAATCACATTTCATGTATACGGGGCCTCTTTCAAGAAATTTTCGCATGATATGTTCTTCTATGCTTTATACACTCTGCTTTTCGATGTTTGATAAATGCTATATTTTTTACATTCTAAACATTGGTCTATTTTTGGCTTGTAAAAACTAAAATTATAACATTCATTGAATATATGCCTGTAAATAGCAGCACTTGCCGACTTGCACCCCAAATTAGAGGCTGCAAACTTCTCAATATAAGTATTGTACATTTTTGTAATGTTTATCTAGCTGTCTACAATAAGACGGCGTGTTCATTTACGACAATAATGACTGGTCATCGTTTGGAAATATAAGATGTGCTGCTTCATTGACTTTTCAATTACATCTAATGTTTTGTTAGCTGGAACTTTTTTCCCTCTGCTATTGACACCACAGATCATGCAATTCAAATCCACGTGTGATAATGCTGACAACACAGAGATGTTACTTATTGCAAGAGTTTTGAAGAAAAACTGCTTACACACACGTACTCACGCTTACACACTCGTACTCTGCTTTGCTCAAAGTATAGAAAGTAAGCAATAGATTGCTTATTTTCTGTATTTGCTTTTCTGTGCTTTTCTTGCTTTTCTGTGCTGTCATTCTGTGTACTACATTCAGTGATTTTGAAACCTACGTACAATAGTTTTACCCTAGCGTTCACTGAAAAAGTATAACGTTGATAAAAACATACCTTTGCAGACTTCCTTTCCATCACAGTTGTCAGCATTCATAAAAAAGTTAGCAGTTTCTGCCAACATAAATGTTATTTTTCGCTTTTTCGCCGCCATCAAATTAAACGTTTACTTCAATGGTGTTCTTTCTACACTATATCAACAGTACAGATTCCATATAAAAGCATTCACGCAATAATGCACCATATAAAGATAATGCTCTTTGCTGCTGCTGTTCTTAGATTTTTACAGACAATAAAGCACCATCTGCATATGGTGCGTTTTGCACAGTAACTTATTTGGAAACAAACTATGGCACATTGAAATATCTCAGATGGTGCATTATTGTCAATAACGAATTGTCAGGTAGCTAGATGGTGCCTAATTTTGCACAAGAGATCAGCATTATGCAGTGCACTTTCAACAATTGATGCGTTTCTGTCCTTAAGTATATAATTAACTTAGTGTTTTATGCTCCAACATGAAAAGTGACAAAAACTTAGATGGTGCGTTCTTGCTTTGAGGTGACGAGATATGAATAAGGTAACACAGGTCAACGAAATTTAATTTTTTTATTTTTTTTTTTTTTTGGATACAATATGTTTTTCTTATAGTATTACTCATTGTGATTTCAAATATTCACCCTTTTTTTGCTACCACGTCAAATTTTAAAGATTTGTTCAAATCCCAAATATTTAGGTAAAATCCTTTATAATATCATAAAAAAAACTTTTTTTAAAATATGTCAACTTCAAAAGTAGCGTTTTTTTTCAGAGATTTCAAAAATAATATTTGTTTGCAATAAAAATGAAAATGTTTTTACCAAAAATAAAAAATAATTTTTTTTTGTTGGTAAAAATTTCTTTCCTTTTGTTACTCTTTAACGTTTTTTTTACTTTTTTTTTTGCCAATAAATTTTGAAATCTCTGTAAACAAACGCTTCTTTTGAGACTCAGGTTGAAATACTTTAGAAGAAGTTTTTTAATGACTATATTAGGTATTTTACTCCAAATATTTGGGATTTCAACCCTAATATCTTTAAAACTTGACGTGATAGTAGAAAAAAGTATAAAAAGTAAAACTTCGTTGGCCTGTGTAATCCAAGCCTATTTTATGAAACATTGATGCTAAGCCTATTTTATGAAACATTGATGTTAAGCCTATTTTATGAAACATTGATTGTAGCAAAAAATATATACTACAAATCAATTTATTTTTTGAAGAATTTTTTTTTTAAATTGCGATTAGATATTATTTTTAGTAAAATACATTAAAAGATGTTTATATAAATTTATATAAAATTGCCTAAAAATCACTGATTTGAGTTGTGTTCAGTAAATTGTTCAGTGTTCAGTGTAATGTTCAGTGTAATGTGGATCAAAGTAACTTTTTTTTTTTTTTTTTTTAATGAAGTAAAATGTGAAAAAGTCATTTGATTTATTTATTACTAGTATTTAAGTTTAGTATTTAAGTTAAAATTATTTGATCAAAAGTTCAAACTTTAACAGATTCTTTAAATGAAAAAGAACATAACATACTTTAACAGATCCTTTAAATGAAAAAAAACATGTTTAAAGCATCAAACTAGAAAAATAAATAAATTAATTTTTTTAATTCTGGCGGCTGCTTTCCAAAGATGCAGAGCCTTCTTGCGGTTCTACTACAAGTTTTTTATTTTTATTTTGACCATTTATCAAAATATATAAAATATATGATGACAACCCCGCTATTGACTGACAACAGGTCAGTCAGAGCCCCGAAGAGGTCTCTCATTAGGGTCCCGAAGAGGTCTCTCATTATATGTATATATATATATATATATATATA